CTAAAAAGTCCTCCATCATAAATTCACTATTTACGTCTCCCGGTGTCGTGCCGGTTTTGCCATAAAACTCCGACGTACCATAACTTCTTCGTTATAACTCGGATTTCAACGTTCTTTATATGTACGGAACCCTTGAGACGTATTCTACAACTTGGTTAAGATTATTTATTCTAAATAATCTTTTGTCAAAAAGTCGTTTTCGACCCCTATTATCTCTAAATTGACTAGCCCGGATCTACGGGCGTTACAAACGACTTAGGCATTGAATCTAGTAACCTTTTCACCAAATCGACTTCTTCAAGCTCGTAACCAAAACTCCTTACTTTTGACGCCAAACCAGATAATTTCGTCACAAAATCGTCAACCGTTTCACCCTCCTTCATGCGCAAACTTTCAAGCTTTCTCTTTAACGTTGCAAGTCGAGCCGTTCTCACCCGATCCACTCCTAAATACCGTGTTTTTAACCCATCCCACACTTGCTTTGGTTCGGTGTAACTCGCCATTTGCAACACCATGTCTTCGGGTATCGCTTGAAACAAAAAGGCAAGAGCTTGTTTTGACTTCTTTTGATCCGATGCTTCACCTAACGCCTTTGGTTCGACCGTCTCCCATATGTCGTGTGCATCCATAATCGACTTGACTTTGACCACCCACACCGGATAATTCGTTGGAGTCAAAACCGGAACTTGATATGTCATCGAACCTCCTTCTTTAACCAACGACATCCTTTTTTCCTTAACCCCGACTTTTTTAATCAAGCTTGTTCCGAGAGCACTCTTCCACCGGACAACAAGACAAGTTCCCGACCACCTTTACCGTCCTCCGTCACCCGCAAAACGAACTAAATCAAAGCCACCCGCTTTGACGTCTTCCCGTATGTTTATTCCACGTCTCTGGTTAGTCTCTCACAAGCCCGATTAAAAGAAACTGAGGTTGCTTGTAGTCAACCTCGAATCACACCCCCTTCAACGAAATCGCTCTAATACCAAGTGTAAATGCAATAAAACAATAAACAAATTTGATGTTGCAAGTGTGAACACAAACAGGGACAGAAAAGAAAAGGAAAAAAAAGATATTGATCACGAAGTTAAACAAATGTTACTAGAATTGAATTGAAACAAAAGAACGAGAGATGCTCATACTTATACTAAGGTCATCTCTAATGGATTAAACTCATGAAAAGTTGTATGGATTGCCAAGTAGGAAAGAGAATATACACATTCACTTTAATTCTTAAAAAATTCATAAATTTTCAATTACAATTCCATTGCACCGTTTGTTCAATGGTCATTCAACTCCACACTCTCTCTCTTCTATATTATATTCATATTTATTCTATTAAACTCTCGTACAACTCTCATTGTGGATGACCTAAAGAAATTGAAACCTACTCAAACTTCTAAAAGAATAAAATAAAAGACTTTGACTCCTAATCTAAAACTGGGAATTAATAAAAGGCAATTTTCCTATATAAAAACCGATTAACCCAATAGTTCATTTGAAGGGTGGACGGTATGCATGCATGATGTATGCATGCATGATGGAGAGTTCACTCGGCATGGAAGAAAGATGGTTGTGAGGAGGAAAGGGAGGGAAGAGCCGGATGGGGCCACAGGGACGTGGGAGAAGCTACCCATACCGTCCACCCTAATTATAGTGAAGGTAGTAGTCAAGGTTGTCTTCGCATGCTTTTTGCAAAGGCACAAGACAAGTGCGATATCATATGTCCCACATTACGTCTTTCTCCAATCAATTGCTTTCACTTTAAAGAAACACGAAATATATTGATGTATCTATTTTTTATTCTTGTTTTGTATATTGGTCCTGAATTTCTATATTTATTTAAGATTCAGCTTTTAATCATACATTAAACAAACATATACTATTTGTTTTCATATACTAAAAAATAACTCTATCTTTCAACATGGTTGGTACTTGGTAGTCTAAACACATATTATAATAGCGCTCCCGATTTCATATCTTCTTCGTCTCTCCAACTAACAAAAAAAAATGGAAGCATTGAGGAATCCCAATGAAGCAAACTCAAGCCCTCTTTCTCCTCTTGGATTCCTCGAAAGAGCAGCCACTGTATTCGCTGATTCTCCTTCACTCGTCTACAACCATCTCACCTACACATGGTCCGATACCTTTCGCCGATGTGTGCAATTAGCTTCATCAATCTCCGGTCTCGGCATCGGAAAAGGCGACGTCGTTTCGGTCCTCGCACCCAACATTCCGGCCACTTATGAGCTTCACTTCGCCGCCCCCATGGCCGGCGCCGTCATCAACACCATTAATACCCGCTTGGATGCTCGAACTATCTCAATACTCCTCCGTCACAGCGAATCTAAGCTTGTCTTTGTTGACTACCAGTTAACTCGTCTTATTGAAGAAGCAGTTTCTCTCCTGCCGGGTGGCTGTGCGTACCCACGGCTGGTTTTAATCACCGATGATGGACCTCCGTCGTTACCCACAGATCATTTCGTTGGTACTTATGAAGGTATGGTTGAAAACGGTGATCCGGGATTCGAATGGGTTCGGCCGGAAAGCGATTGGGATCCATTAACGTTGAACTACACATCAGGGACGACTTCGTCGCCGAAAGGCGTCGTCCATAGCCACCGTGGCACGTTCATTGTAGCCGTGGATTCTCTCCTGGAGTGGGACGTACCGAAGCAGCCAGTTTATTTGTGGACCCTGCCAATGTTTCACGCTAATGGGTGGAGCTATGTGTGGGGTATGGCGGTCGTCGGTGCGATCAACGTGTGTCTCCGCCGATTTGACGCATCCACCATATACACTGCCATCCACCACCACAACGTAACGCACATGTGTGGTGCTCCGGTTGTGCTCAACATGCTATCCAAAGGGGAACCACTCGGCCGCACTGTACATATAATGACCGCCGGAGCTCCACCTCCTGCGGCGGTTCTGTTAAGAACAGAGTCTTTGGGATTTGATGTGACCCATGGATACGGATTAACGGAAACTGGTGGACTAGTTATAGCATGTTCGTGGAAGAAACAATGGAATCGGTTGCCGGCGACGGAGAGAGCTCGATTGAAAGCAAGGCAGGGAGTTAGAACCATCGGGATGACGGCGGTAGATATTGTGGATCCTGAATCGGGAGTGAGTGTGGCCCGCGACGGGTTGACTCAGGGGGAAATAGTATTGAGAGGCGGGTGTCTGATGTTGGGTTACTTAAAGGATCCTGAATCAACCGCGAAATGTATCAGGAATCGATGGTTTTACACCGGCGACGTGGGCGTGATGTACCCAGATGGGTATTTGGAAATCAAAGACAGATCAAAAGATGTAATCATAAGTGGCGGAGAGAATCTGAGCAGCGTGGAGGTGGAATCGGTGTTGTACTTGCATCCGGCGGTGAATGAGGCGGCTGTGGTTGGACGGCCTGATGAGTTCTGGGGGGAAACGCCGTGTGCGTTCGTGAGTTTGAAGGAGGATGGAGGGAAGCCGCTGCCGACGGCGGTGGAGTTAATGGAGTTTTGTAAAGGGAAGTTGCCGGGTTACATGGTGCCGAAATCGGTGGTGTTGACGGAGGAGCTTCCGAAGACATCTACGGGGAAGATTCAAAAATATGTACTTCGAGAAATTGCCAAAAGTATGGGATTTGTTGTAAAAACTCGAATGTAAATTATCCCACTACAATAACGAATGTTGTTGACTTTTGTTTGGGAAAATAAGTGGGAAACAAATAAATGTGTTTTTACTGTTTTAGAAAAAAATATGTTGATGTTTTTCCCCTTTTTTTTAAAGGGTTATAGGCAAAAGTTACGATTAGGAATGAAAGATTTAAATGGCAAATTGTATAAATGGATCATGTAGGTGGTAAACACGAAGATGAAAGAGGGTATGTCCGCAACAAATCATGTGAATGAATTTTAATTTGATACTAATAAGGCTAGTATATGTTTGTTATAACCTCCCTGTATAATTGTAGCCTAATGCAAAAAGTCGTATGTATTAAATATACCTCCCTGTATGATTATAACCAAATGCAAAAAACGTGTGTATTAGGGATTATCAGTAATATCTCTTTCTAGTTTGTCTGTAGATGTAATTTGATTACTAGCCATGAAGTTTCTTTAATCTCTAGTTCTGATCCACATAAAAGTGTTTGGCTTTAACTTGTTCCACCTTTCTGTTATTAAATAATTTTTGGTTCCAAGCTTTCCATAGGAACCACATTGTTTTTGGAGGATGGAAATGCATGGCGACGAGGAGTGGGACATAACTTTTCCTCAATTAGACTTCTCAGGCTCCAAACAACATAGAACTGACCCGATGGATCGAGATTCCAAGACCAGCTGGTTGGAGGGATAAGATGCCAAAGGTAAAGGTCGATGTCAAGGAGGAAAACTCCGAAAGTTCTATAGGTGATCCATTATAAGTCATAACTACACTTTGCGCTTTGGTTCTATACAGTCAAACTTCAAAAAAGTAAAAAAAAAATTAAAAATACAAATAAAATAAGTATATGTAAAGACTGAAGTCTTTAAATATGTATATATGTCACTCTCATGAATGTGAACTTTAAAATAAGTTGACAGGCATTTCTAAGAAAAAACTAATTAGTTATAATCGTTTATTGGATTTATTCATCCAGCCAACGTGGAAAACAACATATTGATGCGGAATTGAACTCCAACAAAGATGCCAATTAACTCAACTACCATCTTGCTAAAATGATACACTACCACACCATTCAAGCATTGTCATATCCGTATGTATTAATATTACATTTTAGAAATCCCATGCGCATAATATTACATAGACAAAACTTCGTAAAGGTTCTTGTGGTTTCATAAAATCTGAAGTTTCGTCCTTAATTTTAAAAATCTCATGGATCGTCCCGGTTGTTTCAAAACTTATAATAAAAGGTTATTATTGTTAGCTCCGTCAAGTTTTGTCCGTTAAGTGAAGGACATTTCTGTCATTTCATTATTACAGGGACCATTTCTGAGTTTTTGTTATTTAAAATAATAATAATAATAATAATAATAATAATAATATTTTTAATATACAACGGGTCTCTCTCTCTCTCTCTCATCGTCAAATCCCTTTGCCCGATCAAAACTACAAGGAGCCACCACGTGTATCTTAGGTATGTTTCCACCAGAACCCTAATTTTATATTCGTTTTTTTTCAAATTGTCTATAAAAGTATGTTTCATCTTCAAACACCGGCATATCTATCCAACTGCGACATTCAAATTTATTATGGCAAGAAAACTAACGTTGAACCAGGCAGATTTGTACATTTTGATGCAATGTCTTGGAGAAATTAGTGAAGGGGTTTCAAGAGCAATAGATTGAGCACCTGGTAGGCAGTATTTGAACACAAGTTTTACCAAGCTCTAACACAAAATCTCACCTCCGTGAGTAGATGAAACACCATTTCACTATTACAGGGACCATTTCTGAGTTTTTGTTACCTAGATGTATACAAAAAAAAAATTATCCATACATAAACAAAACAAAAAAGTAAAAATCCAGATGTAAATAACGAAAATGTAACTACCTCATAAGTTATATTCCCTTTAAGATTACAATGCATCCCATTCTTCTTTATAACAAAAAGCAATAAAAAAAAAAAACCAAGAGAAAGTCGATACCACCTACAATTTGGTTTTTGATCCAACCCAAGGAAAACAATATTCTAATCTAGCATACAGACAGGTTGACTCATTATTTAATCTACAAACCCTTGCAAATATGAATGATGAATCAACACTTGAATGAACTTCACAAACAACACAAATGGAAGCAACACTAACATCCATATGATGATTCAAAAATAATAATAATAATAAAATAAAAAATAAATAAAATAAATAAAAAGCCTCCCACACCCACAACAAGATAGTGTCGCATAATTAAGAGTGGCTTCACACAACACAATCCAACTAAAATCACACAAGCCGTTATAAGATGTAACCAATCACACTTTTTTCAGTCAAGAATCCCAACACATTTCCACATCATAGTCAAAAGGTCAAACAAACATGTAAACATCCAATATAGCAATAACAATATCCTACTCTCCCTTATCAGTTGCAACAACATCCTGAGCCACCTTCGGTTCCTCAACCACAGCTCGAGCCTCCTCGAGCCGCTCAACTTGAACTTGAGCCACTTCAAGCTTCTTCACACACGCTTCTGGCTCCATAGCCTCAGCTAAGATTGAGCCACGAACAAGCCTCTCAACTGGGATTTTAATCACATCACGACGCATCCCAATGTCAGCAACAACCCTACTAATACAATAAATCCCACACCCAACAACCGCCAAACCGGGAAAACTAGTGGTCAAGTACCGAAGCGGAGACGAGACAATCGCACTAGTGGCGGCTAAAAAAGACGCCGCCTGCCCACTACGCCCTACACTAATAGTAGTGAAAACCAACAATCCAGTCTTACAGTAGATTGCAAAATCCTCACAATTATTCTTAAAGATATTGTATCCTCCAAAACCATTTTCTAGTAGGAACTGAGCGCGATAGATGACATCATCGGGAGGATCGGAACGTGCAAGAGTGCAAGTTCCACCTCGCGCTTTTGCGAGAAAAATAGCGGTGGAGACTGAGTATTTGAATAGATAAAGGTCGTCTCCAGATAAAAAACAATCTAAGCACGAAGCGATGACGCCTTCTGCTTTTGACTGGTCCCCACATTTCGGGCATGGGTCGCCGTCTGAGTTTGAGGGGGATGAGCTTAGGAGAACGCGGTCCAACACTGTTCCTGTCCCAATTTCTTGCCCCCCGCTGCGTGTGAAATGGATCACTTTTTCATCACCCATGTATATGCCTGAAACATAAAATGTGTGAGATTTCTTGAAGCTTTCTTTCATAATAAAATTGGTTTGTAATTGTAACATGGATAACAAAAGGGGCAAATGGAGCTCTTATAGAATTTACAATTTTCTCAAACGTTGGTGATAACATTTGTGATTTGATTAGCACAACATACAAAATGGTAAGATATGGACAAAACATAGAAAAAATCAGCCTAAAGAAACTAATTTGTGGAGAATGGATCCAAACCATCATGTATTTTGCAATTATCATGAAATTGAATTTGGTATTAATGTATTATTGATCATTTAATTGATTTATCGTATTTTTTTTCGTTTGAATCCAAGAGTATGGTGACCAACATACTTTTCAATCCATGTTCTAGGTCACATTCCAAGAATTGCAAAGATCAAAATTTATGTGTAATCGCAGGTGATAAAATCCAAAATGGGTCGTAATTGAACTTGTTTTTTCTTTTGGGCAAACGGAGACTCAAAAAAGGAAAGTTTTTATCACGGGGAATTTAGCATAAGTTTGATTTTTGCAATTGCCCTAAAAGTGCACTCTTTTCTTTACGATAAATTATCAGAATACCAAATTCAATTTCAAGGAAATTGCATAATATATTAATTCGATATATAAATCCTTACATTATAAACCCTAGATGAACACATATCCTGATTTAATTCTGATTACAAGTTGTTCGTGAAGCATAACGTAAATTTACAGAGAATAAAGACAGAAATCGTAAATAAGTGAGGGGAGAATTAGGGGGAAAATGAAGGAGGACGAACCGTGATGAGCGTAGAGCCAAGCTGTACGCCATGTATAGATGTGATCGCCTGGTTTGATTTGTGATTTATCGACTTTGTTGGACAGTATTTGCTTCATCTCTTCCATTTTTCTTCCCCTCCCGATATCTCGATTTCTGGATTTCAAGATTGTAGTTGCTTTGCTTCGTTAGGAGTACAATTCACAGCGCTTTGCATTCGTTTAGGCGTGTGAGGGTCCACAGGATGCCTTTTTTTATCCAACTTCGCAGCCTTCGTAAGTTAGCGCGTGGAAACTCTTTACTTTTATTAGGGTAAAGATAACTTTGCTTTTGTCCATAGATAATTATGTTTTGTTTGCCTTGTCTGAAATAAGGTAATGTTATTAGTAATTATGGATGATATTATCATTTTGTAAGTATGAAAAAAATATAGTTACTTAAATGTAGATAAAAATCAAAATTCTTTACCTAAAGAACTATTATGGAATATGTAAGCTTCAGAAATCTGAGTATTTTGTATTTACATTGTTAGTATATTTTTGTAGGTGATGATGTTATGTCCATTAATATGAACTATACAACATGAAAACACTGCTTGACAATAACGAATGATTGTGTTGCATAGCAGTACAACATGGAAAGCATTGTCCCACAACATTGTCCAGTAGCACAACCTAGTCCCCGACCAAGCCCAGCTTGCCATGCAATGTGGTTGAGTGGTGCTTACATGTAGTGTTGTCACGTCATGTTGCTATGCGGTGTTGCCAATCAGTGACTTTATGTTGTTTAGGTCATGTCAATTGACCTAACATCATCACCCACAAAAAATAAAGTACACAGGTCATACAAAAAATAAAGTACACAACCCTCTATAGCGCACACGTTCCATAATGGTTTTTTGGGTAACGGATTTTAGGTTTTGTCTACATTTAGGTAACCATGTTTTTTTTCCGTACACGTTTCACATGTTCATAATATGGTAATATCATTGGTAATTATTGGTAATATTACCCAATTTTAAACAAGTAAAAACAAGTTTACTGGTCAAACGTTACAAAAAAAATGGTTATCTAAATACGGACAAAACTCAAGTTCTTTATCTTCTTAGGTCATTAATCATTTTCTTTATCCAACTAGGGTTTGTAATTACATTTGTAAAAAAATTAATATATATATATATATATATATATATATATATATATATATATATATATATATATTAAAAACATTTATACATATTGATAGCGGCACATCGGGCCACACCAGATTGCGATGCCTCAAAACATATGTTGGAAACTGGGCAATTATGATCTCGCGCGTGGAAAGACACACCCTTAGGGATGGCACCACCGCATTACTAACTGACAGCCTAGGTGGTGCACACACCACCACCAACATCATCTCTGAATCAATCACAACTCAGAGCAAGAAACAAAGGACACCTCCACCAATGGGCATACATGCGCCGTATCAGGATTGACTGTAACATCCATAAAAATCATGAAAAATTTGAACTTTTAGAAACCAACCACTTTCATAAATTGTTTACAAACATAGTTTTCAAAAGTATTTCAACATCATAGTTCCCAAAACATAAGTCCAAAATATGATGATGTGTACGGTCACGCATTCGCCTTCTTGCGGTCCTCTGAAGTACCTGAAACATAACCCAAAACTGTAAGCCAAAGCTTAGTGAGTTCCCCCAAAATACCAACACATAAACAGATAACAAATACAATTAACAGCATACTATAGGTCCAATCAACCATCGAGTTGGAATACCCCAGGCCCCTCAACCATCGGGTTGGAATGCCAACATATTATGGGTAAAATCAACCTTCTGGTTGGAATACCCCAGGTCCCTCAACCATCGGGTTGGAATGCCAATACACTATGGGTCCAATCATCTTCGGGATGGAATACCCTTGGGCCCATTCAACCATCGGGTTGGTATGCCCTGGCCTGTTGGCTTATACACAAAGCAGTGAAGCCTCAGCCACCGACCAAACATGTGCACATATAACAATAATCATATAATAGTCTATAGCCAGTCAAACAGATCTACAGATGACTAAGCATAGATTATCCTATATACCAGGATACCGATCTAACAGATCACTATAATACAATAGCATGCATAAAAGAATATCAATCCAATGGGTCGGCCTTGGTGCCTTCGATCCGCAAGTACAGTGACGAAAACTCACCTCGCAAATCTGTACAGGTAGAAGAAAAGAATATTGCTCCACGAGTCAACTCTATCGGTCACCTATACACAGGAAGAGACCCAAACCTTAGGTTTAAGAACAAAATACCCAAAATTTCCCTAAGATCAAACTAAGTCAAAAGTCAACGGAAAGTCAACCTAGCTGAGTACGCCCAGCGTACTCCGCCCTTGACCAAAAGAGGGCAATTGACCACCTACGCCCAGCGTACGCAACGGCCATGCAAAACTTCCATTAAGTGCTTAATTCAACAAGTCCAAACGTTCAAATCCAGATCTAAGCCTAAAAAGGTGTTCCAAACCACAAAGTTTCCAACTTTATGGTTATGCATGCATTAATAAGTCCGAAAATCACAACCCTAGTTTGTCTTAACCACTTAAGACCTCTATAACTTGCATGCAAGCACCAAATGAGTCAAGATAGCATTTTTACGACTTAATGCACGTCAAATCTTCTGAAAGGACAGCTCATTTGGTCTTAGAGTAGCTCATACTCATTAAGTCCAAGAAAAGGTACTAAAACTCATAAAACTTATCATGGAAAAATCTTAAGGAAATACAAGTGAAGATCAAAGATTTATACCTTCTGGAGCTTCCCAAGGAGGCAAAGATCCCAGATCTACAAGCTTGCTTCCACACCAAGGCTCCTCAATGTATCTTCTTTCTTCCTTCAACACACCAAGAACACACACTTAAGCTCAAAACATACACTCAAGGGGTTAGGGTTTGCAAAAACGTCATAAGGGGAGTGGAGGCTAGAAAGGTGAAGGAAAATGAGGTTATAAGGATGGTTATATAGGGGCTCAACCCTAAAATTTAGGGCTTCCAAACCTGGAGAATACGCCCCACGTACGCTGATGTACGCCCAGCATACGCACGTACGCATAGCGTACTCCCATTCCTCCCAAATTACAATTTTGCCACTATGGCTTCTGATGTGACCTTGGCTCAACCCTTAGTTCGTGTCCTCTGTTGGATCTCGGGTAAAATCTGCAAGATCACAAGAAAGAGAGGTCGTCAACCGTTTCCCGGGAGGAGGCTCCTGGAAAGACGCTCTGACGGTCAAGTTAGAAGGTATTCTAGGGTTTTTGTGAGTAAAGCTGGAGAAGATGGCTTACCTTGTGAGTTCTAGAGCGTACCCTTTTATACCTAGAGATCCTGCCTTATCCGTACGCGACAGGATCGCTTTAAGAAGACAGGGCCAGAGGCGATGATTGGTGGGTCGTGCGCCTCTATCCGTTAGAGCGCCCTTATTGGCTCTGACGGTAATGGTCTGATCCTGCCTTTTGTCCCCTGACCATATCTTTTGTCTTGACGCTGGGAGCGTCCCTGGCGGGCGCGAGCTTTTTTTCGGGACATTGAGAGCGCCTCTGGCGGGCGCGAGCCTTTTGTTGGGACGCCCTGCTCTTAGGGGCGCCGGCGGGCGCTGAGCCCGCTGAGCTTGGTTCGGCTGGCGCACCAGGTTTCTTGGCCAGGCGCGGTTCTGTCATGCTAGCATAGGCACGTCATCAAGTCCCCCAGTCCGGTAGCCGTAGCGTTGCAGCGCTAGTTGCGGCGTTCTGGACTTGATTGCTCTACGCGTGTCCATTTCTTATTTGCCTGCCGTTCCGATTTTAATGCCGACGTGACCGTTCATGATGGCTGGCGGTTACGTCGTTGTCAGACATTTTGAATATCCTGCCTTTTCTGTTTTTATAAGAATGCTCATAGGGTTTTCTTTGGACCCATCATCTTCTTACTGTCCTCATTCTTTTTTACACTGTTTCCTTTCTTAACCTTTTCATGGCGAATCTTCCCGGTGTTCTTCCTTCTGCGGCTGAGTATCAGCAACTCGAAACCGCTTATGGCATTTCTTCCTTGGAGGGCGTAGAGTTTCCCTCACCTGGTTCTTCTATTTCGTCCCCTCCCCCCGGGAAAACTGGGATCTATCAAAAAACCCTGGATGCTGGTGTTCGTCTTCCATTGACAGATTTCCAGGAAGAGGTCCTTCATAGGGACGGTTGCAGCCTGCAGATGTTGACTCCCAAAGCCGTTAACAAAGTGGTGGCATTTGATATGATCTACCGCGCCAACGGTTATCTCCCGGACTACTTTGTTTTCAAATACTTCTTCAGGTTTTGTCTTACCGGCGACAAGTGCACATTCTCTGTCCGACGGGGAGGGCATGATTTGGTCCCTGACGGACGAACGCCCAAAAATTAGGAGGATAAATGGTTATGGGTGAACCAAGGCTTGGTTGGTAGCGGACGATATCGTGCAAATGCCTTTGCTGACACCATTCCTAAGCTTTTTCCCCATAATCAGAGAGTTGCGGATTTTTTGAAGGACGTCCAAGTGTCTCCTGAAGACTACTCTGAGGCCCTGCTATTTGGCGTAGGGATGAGTCCTTCCTGGAGGCGTCGCGGCAAAATGGCGGTTTTCTTCTGCGTCGTTGATGGTGGGTGCCTGCTTCTTCCTCTTTTCCTTTTTCTCTTGCTTTCTTCTCTCTTCTTCGTATGTACTTAGTTGAGGCTAAGGCTTTATGTTTTCGTGCTCTCAGGTGTCGAGTCTCCTCTGTCCATGGATGAAGTCCTTCGAAAACACTATCGAGGGAAGTTGGAGCATCGGGAGGTAGACTTGGTCGAAAGCCTCCCTCCTCCTCGCCGGATAGACCAGCTTGCCTTGACCGCTGCTTCACCTACTTCTCCAACGACCGGGGGTGTCTTTTCGTCCGAGGCGAACCCTCTGAGTGCCCACCCTATCTCAGCCATCATGCCATTGGGTGGTGTTCGCCCTTCTTCCGCGGAGAGCAGCGAAGACAGCAAAGAGGGTATCATCTTCGACGCCTGACGCATGCAGGCTAAGAGGAAAGCCGTGATGGCTATGGGCGAGCCAACCACCGTCGTGCCGAACATTGCCAAGCGAATTCAGACCAGGCGCAGTTTCTCTCGTCTTCTGAATTCCATTGCTTCGGCTCCGACGGGTGTTGTTGTGATCCCTGATGACGACAGTCAACAGTCCAAAGGGATTGCTGGGGCGTATAATCAGCCTGTTTCTTCTT